GAAACATGTAAGAAACAAGACAATACGTATGATAAACAAGACAAACATGAAATTATTATATTATAGACGATGGTAATTATATCTTTAGGATTTAGAAGAATTATGTAATGTCAAATACGAATTAATATGCAGAGTATCTTCAAGAAAGCAAATCGCGTTTCTTTGAGTAATGTATTATATTCAAACAGACAGACCCATAAAAGGGTACCGTAATATTGGTATTATATAACAACGCGGAGAAAGAAGGATTGAGGATTATAACAACACCGTAGTATTAATATGGATCGATAAGGAGAACAAAATGTCTTCAGCATTCAGACGCAAATTATAAAACAAATGAATATTGAACGATCGTGTAACTCGACTGTCCGACGTAGTCCGATGCGTCTATATTGATTAAGACAAATGAAAGTATGTTTTAGACCATCGACCACGAAATGAAATGGCTTTATCCGAAGAATTCGGAGGTGCTCGCAATGAGCTTGCAATTGCGTAGAAATACGCTTATTCCGGCGAAGCCGGAACGGAATCAGTGGTGGTACTTATCGGTTCGATGGAGCGCAAGAGTAACGATAGTTTAACGTAACGTCCTTCCTTCTGAATTCCAGTTATATAGCAGCAGACAACTCATTAATGTCGAATCTCTGGTGGAATGTATTCCTGCGTGCAGCTGCTCAACCGCCTTGTATGTATACTCTCGCTCTCCGCCGTCGAAAGCGCGGCGTCGGGGCGACGTCCACCGTCCTTGCACCGTTGATGCTTGACGGAATTTTAGTAGGCAACGCACTCAACCTCGACTTCCTTAGCAGTTGCAAACAAGAAATCGCAAACACCACTCGAAAATACTAAAACGTTATCCGAATCACAAACGTGGACTATCGCAACGACTTCCTGAGACCGAATGAACGACGCACGATCTCTTTTTCTTCCGAGTCTCGCTTGACAACGCGTAACTAACAAAACAGTAATCGACGATCGGCGTTCGTATTTCCCCGCGTCCGGCGCACCGCTGTTGCTATCCGCCTTGACACGCAAGCGCGCAGAAAGCGCGGCTTTTTTAAACATTTCCGCCCGCCTTCGTTCATCGCGAGATTAACGAATAAATTACAATGGATAGTACTATACAGTGTCGATGGGGATAGGTAACGGGCAAACTTTTACAATGGGTCGCTTTAACGTAGAAGTTTGCGTACGCACCGTGACTACACGCGTAAGTCCGTCAGCACCCGGGTGGGTCTCAACAATCACGGCCACTTGGATGGAGGGTACCTCTTATCCACTACTAAAACGAGAGAGCCAACCTTGAAAGAAGGTGTGGCTTTATTCCATTTGTAAATGGAAAGATAACGCTATAAGCACTCTGTAGACCATCTAGCCCAGAAACTCTCTAGCATCTGGCGTGTCCATTGCCAATGAGACAGCCGTGAAACCTTCACCATTGCAAGTGAAGGTTCTGGTATAATGGATGGTGCACGACCCATGAGGAAGTGACCAGAAGTTAAAGCATTGAGATCCTCAGGATCGTCTGTAAGTGGGCATAGAGGTCGAGAATTGAGGGTAGCCTCAATTTGCGCAAGAAATGTGGTCATTTCTTCGTACGTGAGCAATGTGTCTCCAACGACTCGTTTCAAGTGAAACTTAACGGATTTAACTCCCGCCTCCCACTTTCCCCCGAAGTGAGGAGCAGAAGGCGGGTTGAACTTCCATTGCGTTCCGTCATTGGCCAGCAGTGAGGCCAAATTGCTCAATTCCTTTGAGGAAGAAGAGAAAAGCTTTTGCAGTTCGGAGTCTGCACCCTTGAAATTTGTGCCGCAGTCACTTATCAGGGTGGCACAGATACCCCTTCGGGCAGTAAAACGCTTGTAAGCGGCCATGAATGCCTCGGTAGTATAGTCAGTTACAAGCTCCAAATGAATGGCTGAAGTCGAGTGACAGACAAACAGAGCAATATAAGATTTATATGTGCGCGCGTTTTTGCCTTTCCAGGTTTTGGTGATAAATGGTCCAGCGTAATCAACACCGGTATGCAGAAATGCACGAGATGGGGTTATGTTCTCCACTGGAAGTGGTCCCATTAACTGTTGTGCTCCTTTGCGTCGAAAGCGCGAGCATCGCACGCATTTGAGAATGAACGAACGTATGGATGCTCTTCCTCCAACTATCCAGTAGTCGTTACGTATGAATGCAATAGTAAGTTGAGTGCCTCCGTGCAAAGTACGAAGATGCGCATCTGCAATGATCAGACCGGTGAAGGGTGAGTCCTTCGGAAGAATGAGTGGATGCTTAGCATTAGCCGAAAGATTGGAGAAGTGCAAGCGACCACCAACTCTTAGAAGTCCGTTTGAGTCTAGAAACGGGGATAATCGGAGGAGTGAGCTTGTCTTAGGAATAGATTGGTCCTTGGAGAGTATCTCCAATTCCCGACGAAAAGAGCGTTTTTGTGTCAGATTGACCCAAAACATTTTTGCATTTTCTACTTCGTGAGTAGTTAATGGCGAAACCATTAGCCCAGTGGGAAATATAAAGTCGAAAAGACGTCATGTTGACGTACATTTCGAAATGTCGAAATGTTGACGTCGAAATGACGTCGAAAAGCCTGGTCGAAATTATGTAAATTTGGTCACAAGAAACACCTCTTTTCGACGTCGAAATAAGATCCAAGGTGACGTTAAATATTGTCTCTGGCAATATGCTTTAGAGCTTTAAATCAGGTCAAATTTACGTTGATTTTAGATATGGAGACAATTTGCATGTGTACGTTTATATTATCTACATATAGAATGGATTAGCGTGGTAATAGGAGTTGCACGCGTATAAACCAACAGATATATAAAGACATGTCCAGAAAGAGACAAATACATACATATGTCTCTCTTCTTAAATTACTATAATATTTATTATAATTACTATAATTACATGTATTATTATAATTATTATAATTACATGTATCCTCATATTATCTGTCTCTTATTCTACCTGTGCAGCCCTACTTCCACTGTTAGTAATCCACAATTCTACTTTATATGTTGATAATGTATGTATTCAAACTGTTCTTATACTTAAAATCGATATAAATTCGACCTGATATCGATGATACCTAACGCATATTATCCAAAACGCATATTCTATACATATATTGATGGTTTATATATTTTGGAAAGCGGGTTTACATTAGAAAGAAGAACAGGATAAAATTCTATAAACTTTACGTGTATACATATACACATATATATATGTCAATCGACTAGTTTGACGACACTTTTTGGTACGGATCGACTACTTTGACGACTTCTGAGTACTTTGACGACTGTCGTCAAATTTGTAGCGGTCTATCGACTAGTTCGACGACGTCATCAAAATTTTCGTAACAATAAATTGAGCATTTTCGGGACACTTCAAATTTTGACGACATATGCGGTAATGGACAATTTTAACGACATTAAACAAATAATGCAAATCTACATTATATAACGAATGTCTTAGATCTTACATTGAGATCTTACATATCAAAATGTTTAGCAGATTTGTTAATTATTGCAAGAAACATTGGCCGCGTTCAGCGAAGAAAGTTGCTCAGTGGACGCATCGCGCTGATTGGGTTATACTTTTAGATCTGTGCTGTGATAGAACTATTCTTCTAGATTATTAAAGAATAATCTAATCGGCGCAACCGCTCACTGAGCAATTTTCACCGCTGAATGCGGTCTATGTCAGTACGGAACATACTGCAATATATGTATATATGTCAATCGACTAGTTTGACGACAATTTTTGGTATGGATCGACTACTTTGATGACTTCTGAGTACTTTCACGACTGTCGTCAAATTTGTAGCGGTCTATCGACCAGTTCGACGACACGTCATCAAAATTTTCGTAACAATAAATTTTGTATTTTCGCAACACTACCAATTTAGACAACATATGCGGTAATGGACAATTTTAACGACATTAAACAAATAATGCAAATCTACATTATATAACAAATGTCTCTTAGAAAAAGTACAACTACATAATAATTTCAACTAAAGACAATATATGCAGAGTTTACAATTTTCGACTCTGCAAAATTGTAAGAATTTCCAAGAACATAGTAATAAATATATTTAGTGGGAAAAAAACTGGTAATCGCGCCGCAAATTCTGAAAGTTTACTGAATTGAAATTGTGATAATCGAAAACTTCAATAAACATTCTATCAGAAGTTCCGGCAAATTATATACTATATCTGACACCGTCATTCTCACAGCATAGCAAGTATAAGCAAAAAATTTATTTTACTTAACAAATTTGTGTAAGCAATAAAACAATTAAAAATTTAAAGATTTAATAGTACATGAAAATAAAAATCCATATTTAAGGAGTAATCCATTCCAGTATTGTCAAATGCTCACACAACAGAAAATTTATACTAACGTGTGTTA